AGTGACGGTGGCAGTCGGCGGTGCGTGGTGGCTCCCCCTCCCTCGGGGTTGGGGTCCCGGCCCGCAGGAGACCCCGTGGCTGGGTGAAGCAATTCCCACGTCGATCCCAATCCCGTGTGGCGCTTCCCCGGCTCGTGCTAAGCAGGATGGGGAAGGAGGGGTGGCGGCAGCCCGGCGGTGGCCGGTGGTGGCCGCGGGGACGTGGCTGTCACCTCTTCGTGCCCTGCCAGCGGCGCAGCAGCCACTGGGTGACGAAAGGCCAGGTGAGGAGGAAGAGCAGGGTGTGCGGGGAGACGGTCAGGGGCCACGGGGACGCTGCCTGGCAAGGGGACAGAGATTGGTGGTGTGGGGAGTGGGACAAGGCTGTCACCGGTGTGACCAAACATCCCCCCCGGCCCCCTGCTGAAAGGCAGGTGGTGGCAGGCCACTGGCACGACCCCGCAGTCCTCGTCACACCCATCACCCTGCAGAGAGCTTGACTCAACGCTGTCATCTGGTGTTGAGATGCTGGGGACGTGTCCCCAGGAATGTCACCTGCCCCCAGCTTATGGACCCTGCCCTGTCCTGCCCCCCCCGCAGGAGCTCCAGGCACCTGTGGGTCGCCGGGCCCCTGGGGACGGGCAGCGTGGGGCAACAGGGCCATCCCGCAGCGCTGCCTCCGCCTCCACCTCACCTGCGGAGCCAGCGGCTGGTCAGGATTGGTCCCGGCTGCATCCCCCTGCAAGACAGGAGAGGGTTTTGGGCACAGGAGGGGCTGGGCACTCCCTTCCCAGCCTCGTGTCCCTGTGAGGGAGGGGACGGGCAGAAGTGTGCTCGCTCGGGGATCTGGACAGTGCAGCCAAGCTGGGACCCCAGGGGCAGCAGGGATGATGGAGGCAGCAGCTCCCTGCCTGCACTTCGAGGTGGATCAGAGCAGCACCAGGCTCAGCCCCACTGAACCCCGAGGTCTCTCCACGCTCAGGCCACCCCAGGCTGCCTGTTTGCAGGGACCGGAGCCGAGCCCCACCGGCCCGGCCCGCACAGGTGCAGGCCCGTACCTGCGCAGAGGCGAGTGTCTCCAGCTCGCTCAGGCGCTCCAGTACTCGCCTCATGTCGGTCTGCAGGGCCCGGATGGTGCTGGCTACGCAGGTGTCCAGCTCTGCCGGTAGCCCCCGGGCGAGCTCAGGGGTGGTCCCGGTGTCCCGCTGTCCCCTGGTGAGCCAGTCTGTGGGGCACAAAGATGGGCGCTGCTCAGGGACGGTGGGGCACGCGTGGCAGCGGTGCCGTCCGCAGCGGGCAGGGCTGGCTGAGCACCCCCTCATGCTCCCCAGGGAGCTCACGGGCTGCCTGCCCGCACGCTGCCTGCTCTGCCCACACCGCAGCCACTCCAGGCAGAGCCAGAAGCACCCAGCCCAGCCCTGTAGCCCATGTCCTCGCCATCAGCCAGCACCGGGCCTGTCCCTGGTGACACGGGCCACCAACCCCCCCCTCCTCAGAGTGGTGGTGGCAGTGGGTGACCTCCAGCCCAGTGACCCAGCGGGTCACCTCGCCTCACCTGGTGCAGGCAGGGTGCTGAATGCCAGGCAGGACACCTTGCCTGCACGGCTGCCCCCCTGCCAGGCCCTGGGCCCAGCGAAGGCCCCGCTCCCGCCCGGCTGCAGCCCAGCACACAGGCGGGTACCCCGGGCTGGGAGCAGCAGGCAGGGGCTCGCTGCCAGCCCCCAGCGCACCGGGGATGCCCAGCCCGGCTCTGTCGGCCACGTTACAAGATAACTCCCAAGGTCAAGCAGCCCAGGAGGGTTTGCAGAAATGTTAATGGGGGAAGGTAAGAGTGAGACATTGGGCTGGGCCAAGGTGAGGTGACAGTGTCACCCCAGAGCAGAAAGCCCCCGGGATATGGCTGGGGAGAGACGCAGGGTTGGCAGGAGGCTCTTTGTCCCCACTCCACAGCGGTACAGCTTGGGGCCTGCTTGTCCCCAAACGCCAGAGGCGGGTGATACCGCAGGGGCAGAGCACCTCAGGACCAGCACTTTCAGGGACACGGGGCCCAGCTTCACCCCGTCAGCATCCCCCACCCCCAAAGGCACCGGGCAAAGCCGCTGGCAGCGGGGACCGGGCAGGAGCTGGGCGCAGGCTGGCTGGGCTCCTCGGTCAGTAAAGACACCGAACTGCTTGGGGACTGAGGGATGAAGAGAGGGGATGCTCAGGACTCCTCACAGCTGCTGAATGACCCACCCCTGGGTTCTGCAGCCAAACTCTGTTCCCTGTTGGTGGTTGCAGCCCTCCCAGCCCCCACACAGCCCCCCAGCGCCCAGCCCTGGTGCCGGGAGGTGGGGAGGGAGCAGCGGGAAGGCGCGCAGGAGCCAAACGCTGCACCCACCTCTCTCAGGGCCAAGGGCTGCGAGGCCAGGGCTCCTCCCCTCCAGTCTTCTGCCTTCACCCCACTCTCCCTGCTCTGCACCGCAGGGCCGCGGGGGCTCGGGCCTGGCCTCACCGCCGGTAGGGGAGAGACCCAGCAGCTGCCCAGCCTGCGCGAGGGGAGAGAAGAAGGGCCTGAGACCCCCGCTCCCCTCCCCGGGAGCTGCGGGGGCATGGCCGGTGTCACCAGGTGGGGTCTCTACCCCCACCCATGGCAGCATTTTTGGTGGTGGAGGGTGCGTGGGGCTGAGCGAAGCAAAATCCCACTAAGACCACCAGTCAGCGGCCGGTTTGGGAGGCAATCTAGCTCCACAACCCCCAAGGGAAGCGAGGTGCCCCAGCTTGAGCTGGCCAAAGCGCCCCAGGGAGAAGCCAGGCGGCTGGGCAGCTTCCTCCCTCCTGCCCACCGGATCTGCCGAGCCCCACCACAGCACCTCAAGTGCCAAACGCTGCTGGCAGCAGCCGAGCTGCCTGCTGCAGGGAGCAGAGGGTGAGCACCAGGGGTGCAAGCAAGGTGTCTGCACCATCCCACCCGCGGCTACCAGCCTCGCTCAGCCCCAGCAGCCCACCAGTGCCCCACCGCAGGAATGAGGGGGGTGCTGGGTGGTGCTGGGGTTCACCAAGGGCTCCTCAAGCCTCCCCTCGGTGACAGGGACGAAGCTCCAGGAGGGACACAAAGCACAGACGGGTCCAGCTGGGTGACCCCATAGGTTTTGGGAGCCTGACCGGGCTCCCAGGACAGTGGTGCCGAGAAGTGGCGTGGCAGTGCCGCGGTGACGTGCAGAGCTGGAGGAGCTGATGATACAGAGATGTGCCTGTACAGCGCAGGCAGGGCAGGGCTGACAGCAGGCAAAGCCTTCACCGCGGTGCGGCAGGACCCCAGCGCTTCCCAGCCTGCCGTTACCTGCTCAGGCTCCATCTGCTCCAGGGTATCGCAGTACACGTCCCCCTCAGAGTCACTGGTCACCTGGCTACCTTCAAGCGCCTCGGTGGCGGGGGCCAGGCCAGCTCCTGGAAGGGAAGCACACGGCTCAGCTGCGGGCTGCGCCGGCAGGGCAGGGAGGCGTTTCGGCTGTGTCTGGAGGGCAGCAGAAGCTCAATGCAGCCGTAAGGCAGCAGGTCCACAAGAGGGCAAGAAGGCAGCGTCTGTGTGCACCAGGGGAGGCGGGAGGAAAAGGAAACTGAGGCACGAGGGGGAAGGAGCCAGCTCTTGTTACCGCCACCCGGATTGTGGCTGTCAATCCAAGGACCAAATTCCCTTCTCCTGCCCACGGTGTTGCAGAGCCCCACTCACGGGCGGGCAGGCCCCGACACGGTGCCATTTTAGCGTGGGTTTCTCTGCCCATGTGCAGCTCCCACTTGGGGAGAGGGCTGCCACGGTGGCCCACCGAAACCCCGGCCCGGTGGGGAGCCCCCCCAGCAGGATCCACAGCCATGGCTGCTCTGGCAGGGAGCAGGTACTGCTCGCAAGCTGCCCTCAGGCAGGGATGCTGCCCAGCTCCCCACACGCTGCCAGCCCAGGTGCACTCGAGGATGGGCATGGCCTGGGCGCAGGCCCTGGCTCGGTGACCATTTATGCTCCTTGGGGCAGGGCTGGGCCAGCAGTGGCACGAAGGCCTCCCTGGGGCACCCCATCCAACCCGGGGCACAGCAAGAGGCCCCTCGGGGCAGGAGACCCACCAGTGCCCTTGAGGGAGGCACAGGGTGGTGGGTAAGCATGTGAGGGGCTGTACAAGGAAAGTCAGGACCAAGGCATTAGCCATGGCACAGGCAGGGAGAGCTGGGGCTCGGCACCGTGGCTCCCAGTGCTGCAGAAGGGACAGACTTGGCTTGAGCTGAGGGAGAGCGTGGCCCTTCTGGAACATGGACCTTCCAGGGTGACATTTTCCCAGTCTGTGGGGAAACACCCACGCTGTCTCGCTGTGATTTAGTGGATCAGGCCCCTTGGCACAGGTAGGAGCAACGCAGAATCAAACCAACACACCCAGGGTTACCCCGGCATCAAGAACAGCACCAAGAGCTGGACCTATGAAAATCTCCAGCTCGCGTGACTCAGGCAACACCCACAACACTGGCAGGGTTGGGCCAGAGGTGCCTGAAGCCAACAGCTCTGTGGGCGGACGGAGGCTGGTCCCTCCTCCACGGGGTCTCTGCCAGGTGCCGGCCACACCAGGGAGACCAACCTGGCCCGTGCTGCCCGTTGCTCTGCTCCCCGGGCAGGGCGTCTTCGGGGCGCTCCGGAGCCGGCCTGCTCGCTGCGTCGTCCTGGCTGGGGCCGTTCGTCTGATCCTGAGTGCCTGCACAGAGGGGAAGGGGCAGAGGAGAATGCCAGAGAAAGGGTGATCCCGGCAGCACAGGCTCTCTGCAGGTTGGGCTCCACACCGCTTCCCTGCCGGCAGGGCTGGGGGACACACGGACACGGGGTCACCCTCCTGCCAGGCAGGCCAGCAGCCTCTAGACAGGAGCAGCGGCTGGCAGAGACGGAGAGGGGCTGGCTCCGTTTGCCGATGGCCCAGGCAGCAACACAAACTCAACCTGTGAGCAGAGTCTACCCTGTGCAGAGCATCTCTCTCCCAAGGGTGGTAGGGGAGTCCGAGTCCCCCGAGTCCCTGTAGCAACAGGCAGAGGGATCGGCACTGGCCAACGGCTGGGTAAACATGGACGGGTGACAGCCACTGTCCTCGTCCCCTGGCAGGACACGGGCACACCCACGGTAACGCACAGAGCCGAACACAAGACGCGTTGGCTGGGGAGAGCCTGGTCTAGGCAGCACACGCCACCATTGCCTGCGAGGGCTTTCAGTAGGCAGCGGCACCCCAAAAAGGGCCGGGGCAGCTGCCTGCTTGGGGATACCCCCACCCCACCCCACCGCCCCGCAGAGCCCGCAGGGTTAAGCCCAGCCGCCTTTCCAGCGGCCCCCAGGACTTTGCTCCCTGCTCCTGGCCAGGCGGGTATGTGGCAACGCTGCCCTGCCTGCACCTTGCCTGCACATCTCCACCATTCCCAACCTGCCGTCACCAGCACAGCAGACCCACAGCTGTGGGACCCCACGAGCCCAGCCCAGGTGACCGAACCCCCCGAGGGGGACAAGGGCAGCCCCCACCCCACACAGGAGTTAGCACCAGGGCTGCTCTGCTCAGGGACCGTCACCGTTCCTAAATCTCTCCTCAGTGTGTGTGCCGTGACATGCAGGGGTGGGTGGGTGGGTGCAGGCAGGGCCCTGTCACCTCACACATCACCACGCCAGGACAAGCCTGGCTCAAACCCCGGCCCGCCCCCCGTGCTCGTGGGGCTGGCAGATCAGCACCCAGCCTCGGTGAGGGCTTAACTGTCGCTTCCCAGTTGCTTCAGAGACTTGGCCTACACGTACAAGATGCTGGTGAAAGCTCTGCTGACTGGAGATCTGTCAGGACCCTGACCACTTCACAGTATGGGGTCCAAGTGCCACTTTACAGTGTGTTGACTCTGGAAATAAACAAAACCAAACCTGCCCAGGCTCCCCCCATGCAGCACCTCTGTCCCCCAAAAGCTCCGTGACTGCTGAGGGCCCCATACCTGCCATGCTCCGCTCTCACCCACCGCAGCATCTAAAATCATCTTTGTCCTCTGGATTATCAGTATCAAAAGTTGCAACTGCATAAAATCTGAAGGCGGGTTTGAGAACCTTTAACACAAATGACTCAACATCTTAAGAAGTTCAGCGATTTAAACGACCGTTTCAGGCACCTCAGGCTCATTTGCTCCACAGACACTACCAGGTTTAGATTTAAGTGACACCGTCATTTGTAAGTGACACTAGTGCAGGATGACTCTCCCAAGTGGGTAATGACCAGGAGTTTAGACCCAGCCTTTATGTTACAGAGAAAAATTAAGTCTATTTGCCTTTTAAAGGGATTCAGCATCAAAACAGAGAACAAAAGCGCCTGGCTACCACAGGAAGGAGCAGCCATCCCAAGGCCAAGCTTTGCAGGCAACATGTTTTCAGCATCCTTGTTGGAAGCAGGGAGTGACAGTAGCTGTCAGATGCAGGACAGATGCCTGGGGACAGGCAGGGAGTGAGTCTATTTGTCAGCACTCTTCCAACATTAGCAAAGCACTGAGAGTTTACACACCCGCTGCGAATATACCCTGAAAGCTCATCTGCTGCTGAGCTAATCTACCAGAGATGCGGCACAGCCAAACCTCCAGACGTGCAGCCGGCAGATTTGCTCCGCAGTAGCCGACCTTTCTGAACGACCATGTCCAGCCCCTCGCTCCCTTGGATGCTTCTCACAAGCCAGATACACCGAGGACTGCCCTGCTCCAGGGGTAGGACAGGTCCCCAGCCACCTTCCAGCATGAGGCAGCAGCCGCAGGCATGGAAAGGACTCTTCTTTACCATGAGATTGCCCCAGTAATCCCATTTCTCAACCCCAGTTTCTCCACATCCACTCCGCTGCAAAAACTGGCTGACCTATCCAGATTATTTACATCAGATGACCCGCACTCGCTGTACACAGCCTGCCCTGCCCGGAGGTGGGCCAGCGCCAAGAGAAAGCACAGCCTCCCTGCCGCAACACTCCACAGGAGCTGATCCCCTGCTCTACCGTGTACAGGGATTTGAGCCAAGAGGCTTTTGGAAGCCATGTCTCAAGTTCTCGCCTCAAAGTTTTTCAGAGAGAAATCCCAGGCTGAAGAGACACCTGCGCCACTGGAACAGAAACCTGTTTGGTGGTGCCCCAACAAGCACCTCAGCAAGCAGCTGTGCCATGGCAGGGGAGTCAGAAGGGACGTGGCACGTCCATCCTGTTCCCCCCACAGGGAGCAGCCCTGGGGAAAAGCAGAGCCCAGAGGTGATGGCTGTACTGGTGCAGAAGCAGGCAGGGAACAGCAGGACTGATGCACCAAGAGTATGGCACAGAGGTGAGGGATGCGCTGGGCACAAGCAGAGTGCAGAGGCTCCCACTCACCCCCTTTCTTCTTGAAAAAGGCCTCAGGGGGCCGGGGCATGTCACGGATCACCTCGTAGAGCGGCTCGAAGTACCCAAACATCTCCTCCGTTGTCTCGTCCATGGGCACAGTGTCAATGATCTGGGGAAGGATGTAGCTGGCGATGGGCGATCACCGAGCACCCAACCCCGGCCGCTCTCCCCCTCCCTGCTACCTTTTGGGCCACCTTCTTCATCTCAGCCACGTAAGCTGCCATTGCCTCCTCCTTGGACATCCTCCCCAGGCTGTGCCAGGCATCCCTGCGGGTGACAGCTGCTGTCGTGAGGCGGGGAACAGGGCGGGGAACACCCGGACCCGAGGGGGGTCG